ATTTCGCCACAATTTAATTCTTCGTATTGTTAGTGTCGACTAACAATACGAAGAATTAAATTGTGGCGCAATGCTGCAAGTTCTTCAAATACCGATAGAATGATAGTTTTTTTTTTTTGTGAGTATAAAACACTTAAATACACCAGTTCGATTTTTGTCAACAAGTTTATTCACACCACTTGACGTTTTGGACTATACAAATTGCATCATCAGCATAACTGAAAAAACAACAACATTGATTGAGAACCGTTAATGGTAATATAAAGAAATGTTAAAAAATAAGAATAAACAATGGTGCACTAATAAAACATGATAAAATAACATTTAAAACAGATTTAATGGAAAAGAGCTATTTGCATTGTTTAACTAAGGGTTTTTGTTGTTGAATATAAAGCTTTCCTTGGTTACTAGCTCTAGGCTAGAGCGACCATTTGTCTGAATATTTAAAAGTATGTTTTGAGAAAGGGTGATTAGTTGTATCAGAATTTGCACTAACAACAGAGAAACAGGGATTAGAGAGATCTTTCCGGATTCAAAAGAGATACCCTTACGTTTATGGATTCTAACATTTAAATGGAGAATTGTTTTGCCAGTATAGATAGCCTGGCAGATAACACAGTATAAGAGTAAACAATCTATGAACATAATAGTTTAGGTACCTGATCATTAAAGTGAAAGAAATTGTTAAGTCGAAAGAAAGATCTAAAACAAGTCTTGCTAAATCTGAGGGTAGAAAGATTCGGTCAGATTAGTTAATAGTATTATCATTTAAACAATGCTTTGTTTTACTTAAGAAAGGAAGGGAAAGATTGATGGAATAGAGGGACATTTTTCATATTTCCCTTTAAGGAATTGGCGTATTATTTTGCGTATCAGGTTTTCTGGGCAAACATTCTTTTTTAGGATATTTAGGTTAGTAGTTAGGATATATTTTGTAGGCTCTGTCCAAAAGGCAGTAAACAAGATTCAGTTTGTAAGGAATGAAACTGTCAAAAGGTGTGAGAAGACCAGAAAGAATTTTATCTAGTTCTCTCCTAGTTCGTTTCTTGTGAAGATCTGATTTTCTACTGTTCGTGTTTAGTGTTGGAATCTTCAATCTTGAGAGAAGGAAAACTTTGACGCTAAACATTGACTAAGAAGGAGTAAGGACTGTCACCGTCATCTGTGGGCATGCGCACTGAGATTTTCTTGTTTTTATTTGAATAAAGATTCTGTTTCTTTGTCTAAAATCTGCCCAGCCTATTTATTCTTACACTGAAAAGAACACTCAGTCGAAATATCTCATTCGCAAGAACTCTCGTAAATTGCCTGGAAGAATTCTACTGTTATTGAGAAAAATGCTATCTAATACTTGTCGGGAAATCGTTTTTTAACTGAAAACACCATTAATATACAAAATATATAGCTTGCACTATTGGAATGGTTAGTAAATTACATAGGAAAAACCAGGGAAAATGTTTCCAAAAAGTTAATTGATTTTTGCATTTTAGTCTTTAAAGAACTCAAGATCGTCCAGCCTGACCCTGAACCACCACTAAAAGTTGCCCTTCTATTGAAGTCTGAAATAGCACTTCTGCAAGCAAGAGATACAAAAGGGAATAAACTTGTCCCACACTGCCGCCAGCAACTATAACAAAGACAAGTGGTAGATTCTTTAACTTTTTTGGTTAATCGGAAGATTTCTACAAAGACAAATCGAGAGCACCCAACTCTTATGGTGTTTTTTGACACGATGAATTGTTTGTTTCAGAGGAGAAATCGTTTCACTAACAAAGTTTATACATAAGAATCGAAAGTGTTTATATCATTTATTTTTACATGTATTCATAAGGTAGACGGTTCTGTTGTATTTTTCATCGTCTATTCTGTTTAATTTTATCGTTGGATTACTTATCTAAATTTACTATTAGATCGGTATAAGCACAACAACAAAAATTATTTAGCAGCAGATGATACAACTAATAAAAGTATTTACATGTAATAAAAGAACCACAAACTCTACGCAGAAACATGTTTTATCGATATTACAACAAAAACGTTTCACTTAATACTTGAAATAAAAGTTTTGATCTTCAAAGTTTGTGCTGAGGCTTATGCACCACTTGGCATGAAGAGGATTAAGGAATTAAGAAACATGTGAATTGTTTAAGGTCCTCATTCCTGTACTTTCCATTTCCCGTTTGTATATTCGGGGCATTCTCAAGTGAATATTATTTCGCTCTAGTTACCTATTGCTCTACGTTATTTCCTATGGTATCACGTGTACATTATCACGGGAAAGAACACTATGTAAAAGTAAGCAATCTTTTCCACTGGCAGGTCACATGATACCCTGAGGTTACAATGTCTCTGATTTTTCGATTGGAATGACAAACAGCAGTGTAATTAGCAAACACAACTTTCGAAAAATGTTACTGCAGAACAATGTATAGAATGTTATGTTCTCTCTGTCTACTAACAGCAGGCTCTAGGATATTTGGCACTAATGTTTGTTTCCCTCTAACCTACAAATGAGTGCATCATACAAGGAGAGAGAAAAGACTTGGGTACATAAATTATAAATGTTAAATTACACGAGAACAAAATAATATACACTAAAAACAATAAAATACAATAAGGGTAAGTGATCGGTTTCGGGTGTTAAATTGACAGGAGAAAATGAAAACTTTAATAAAAATGAGCTCTTATCAGTTCATTTGTGTCCCCTAGTAATTTCAACTAAAATAAAATAATAAAAATAACCTCAACAAATTTAATAAAAAATAGAAGTAATCAACTAGTAAAATACCAAATTATTCTTGGATACCAGTAAACTTACTTTATTCTAGTCA